GTGTGTGTGTGTGTGTGTGTGTGTGTGTGTGTGTGTGTGTGTTAGGCTGCCTGCATGTATGTATTTACATCACGTGCTTGTGTTGTATGCATGTGTCAGGTTACCTTCATCTATGTAGCAGTGTGTACGTGGGTTAGGCTGCCTGTATGTATATAGAAGTGTATGTGTGTCAGGTTGTCTGCTTGTATGTGCATCACGTACGTGTGTGTTTTATGTATGTGTCAGGTTGCCTTCATGTATGTAACTGTGTGTGTGTGTTTTAGGTTGCCTGTATGTATGTAGAAGTGTATTGCGTGCATCATGCATGTGCATGTGTGTTATATGTATGTCAGCTGCCTTCATGTATGTAACTGTGTGTGTGTTTTAGGTTGCCTGTATGTATGTTGAAGTGTATTGTATCACATGCATGTGTGTGGTATGTGTCAGGTTGCCCTCATGTATGTAGCTGTGTGTGTGTTTTAGGCTGCCTGCATGTGTGTTATGTATGTGTTAGGTTGCCTGGATGTATGTATGTATGTATGTATGTATGTATGTATGTGCATCACCTGCATACCTAGTGCCCATGGAGGTCAGAAGAGGGTGTCATTTCCCTGAAACTGGATTTATGGAGGTGCTGAGCTACGTGGGTGCTGGGAATCCAACCCATGGCCCTCTTCACAGCTGAGCCATCTCTCCAGCTCCAAATGAACTCAAAAGGATAGTATTTGTTACATGGAATAGTTCTACACAAAAAGAAAATGTGCAGAAGTGTTAACTACATCCAGATGTTCACCTTCTAAAGTTAAAAGGGAAGCAAGAGGCCAATTCAGTCAGATAAACTCAGATTTTTTTTTTAAATAAGCGAAGTTATTTACTCTGAGGAGAACCTATGTTTGACGGCAAGCCACAGTTTGATTCAAGAACAACTTCATGGTACCCTTAATAGTAGGCAGCCCTTGCATATTGCTGTATACCAGGCACGTGGCATGTTATCCCACTTAACCCCCTCACTGACTGGCTCTGGGTAAGTCACTCATCTGCATTTTAGTGTTTTGAGATGGTGGAGTGTCTTTTAGGACTCTTTCCTTAAGTCCTGTGCAGCGAATTCTGTGACACCTGAGTAACAGGTTGGTGGCCTGAAACTTGAAGAGAAATACAGTAGGGGGAGCACTGGCCTCTCTCTTGCTCGCAAGAACGAGGGCCAGACTGCAGTCTGGGAAGTGCAGCTGGTCCCTTGATCTTTTAGCTCCATCTAAAGGATATAGCAACACAGTGTCAGTCATCTGCTAAAGAGTTGAACTCTGAACTCTCTAAGTTTCCGGCCTTTGACACTTTTCCAGAATGTTGCCAAACTAAACTGTTTCTCTCTCTCTCTCTCTCTCTCTCTCTCTCTCTCTCTCTCCCTCCCTCCCTCTCTCTTTCTCTCTCTCTCTCCCTCTTCCAAGACAGGGTTTCTCTGTGTAGCTTTGGCTGTCCTGGAATTCACTCTGTAGACCAGGCTGGTCTCAAACTCACAAAGAACTACCTGTTTCTACCTCCCTGAGTGCTGGGATTAAAGATATGTGCCACCACCTGCTGTTTATTCTTAAATCCCCTTTTAGGTAGCAGAGGTGCCAAACACAAGGCACTTTTAGATTTGCACACTGTTTCCATTTGCCTGGAGTTCCCACCACAATATTTAAAATTCAAAAAGCATTGCAAATGCTTTCTGATTCCATTTCACAGGGAAAAGATGATAATGCTAATTTTGCTTCATTATTTTATTCTATTATGATGTAAAAGTCCATCAGCTTTTTTTTTACTCTCAAACCCATTTCAATCATCTTGTTCAGTGGTGTTATATACCTTAGACAAGGCAGAAGGGCACCAAAAAAGACTGTCTAAAGAATAGTTTCTAGTAGGAGGCTGGAGCTCAGGCGAAATCCAGAGCTCTTTGTCCTTACTGTTAACCCCACAGAGGTGTTCAACCTTTTGCCATTGTGACATGATATTCATGGCCTTTCATGGGATGCCTTGTACACACACACATACACACACCCTGAATAAATAAAAATATATAATGTTTTTAAAAAGAAAGTAAAAATGGTTTCAGCCACAAAACTCATAAGTCTCATCCCTGGACTTGGATATTCATATTTTTGTGTAGACGTTGTGAACCACAAAGATGAAATAAATGATGAAGATCATTGGAACAATAAGATACAGCACAGATTAAAAGCTAACAGGCACCCAGCCAGGTGTTGGTGGCACACGCCTTTAATCCCAGTGTCCCGTGCCCGCTCTGTATTCCTCGCCAGCAAGAAATACACGCAGGACACTCGGATCCTTCTGTAGACAAGCTTTAATGCATTAGACTGAGCAGAGACATTGAACCAAGAAAACCATCCCTATATAAAAGGCTGACCAGCCGCCTGGGACGTATTACCCTATGAATGGCTTTAGCTCCTCAGGCTAAAATGAGCCACGGGATAGGCAGAGATCAAAGGAATGGAGATTACCCAGCGCCTGTGAAGTAATTTACACCTTGGTGTCTTCAGGCAGCATTATAATGCAGGAACCGGCTTCCTACATATCACCCTTTTTTTATTAATTAATGAAAAGGCTTTATATTATTACAAGCAAATAGGTCACCCATATGTTGAGGGATAGAGGCAGGGGTTGACCTTCCCAAAATCAAACATTAAGACTGTGTACGAGAGTCACCATCAGGCTGTCAGCTTGACCCGAAGTACTCCCGACCTGTCCTCTGCCGTTTTTCTGGGAAAGGGAAATTCTCAAGGCAGGTAACCCTTATGCAGGTCAACGT